GACTGCCAGAGATTTAACTAGCTGTCATTCATTGACTGCTTAACTTCGGAAAAGTTATAAACCCCCCGCGACAAAACCTTTGTATTCATTAGCCCCCAAAAGGGGCAAAAGGTGCCACAGGCGCCCAAATGGCTTTTCGCGTCATTTTTGCACTCTGTATAACATTTTCCCGCCATTTTCCCAGCCAAGGTGCAAAAATCACTGAAAAAGTCATTTTGGGGCCTGGGAGTCTGGGACACCTTTTAGACCGGAAAAGTCATTTTGGGGCCTGGGACACCTTTTTGACCGGAAAAAGTCATTTTGAGGCCTGGGACACCTTTTTTACCTTTTGACCGGAAAAAGTCATTTTGGGGCCTGGGACACCTTTTGCCCAGTTGGGGGTGAAATGAATACAATTACACGAAGGTTTCGCCGCGGGGAGGTTTTATAACTTCTCCCGTTTAACTTCGCTGCCATTCATGGACTCATTGGACTGTTTAAGTTGGTCTAGTTTTATTCTCAAGTTTCATAAGTTGGTCTAGTGTTGTTCTCAAGTTTCATAGGACTGCAGTCAGATCAAGCTGTTTCCATTGTACTCGGCAGTAGGGACTTTTGCGTGAGGGCTACAGACTTAGCTGCCATTCATTGACTGTTTAAGTTGGTCTAGTTTTGTTCTCAAGTTTCATAAGTTGGGTCTAGTTTTGTTCTCAAGTTTCATAGGATTGAAGTCAGATCAAGCTGTTTCCATTGTACTCGGAAGTAGGGACTTTTTGCGTGAGGGCTACAGAATAGTACAGACAACAACTAGATTATATTGTATTATTGCATTACTACTGGAATTTGGATGGACCAGCCACCTGATCTCGATGTATCCCTCCTTCACCCCCCTCCTCTTCTTCCTCCTCCTTCTCCCTTTGGCTAATCACGGTGTTTCTCCTCCTCCTCCTGCATTCGTCATTGAGGATAGCGGCAGTTGAGGATGAAGAGGCATTGTAGACAACTAAGACACATCAGGATTTGCTTGCACTGGCACTGAAGGCATGCACATGATTATTATTCATTATTATGTTACGTTTCAGCGAATTCCACATTATTCCAGGACTCGCTGTGTTTCTTACCTTTCTCTTTTTTCTTGCCACGAAGATTGAAGATTCCCTCTTTTTCTCTCATTATTGCTGCTCGACTTTATTCTGATGTCAGTGATGTGATGAACATGCAGGTGTGCACTAGATGATTCAAAGTGCCAGAGCATTATACCTTGTATACCTTGAAAATTGACAGTTACTTTCCCTTTGTCAAAGACGAGCTAGCTAGAGCTGATGGTGACAGACAATGTAGTTGCGTGAGTAAGATTGAAAAAGACACACACACACACACACACACACACACACACACACACATCCGACCGACAGAATCAGACAACCACACACGCAGACACACACACAGACAGAGAGAGAGAGAGAGAGAGAGAGAGAGAGAGAGAGAGAGAGAGAGAGAGAGA